ACATCATGAGCTCCTTGGACAGCTTCATAACTGCAGTATTCGACGCTGTTTGCAACTTCCACCGCACCTGCGGCTCCGTGAGTGGCGCTCCCAAATGCTCCAAATGTTTTATTACGGGATCCTGAATTCGACCATACTCTTGTAACCTATTGGTCTCCATGAGTCCATGGGTTATGGGCATTTAATTGTCCAGGTGTACCAATTAACACAATCTAGACGATGTCCGACTCAATCTCAGGCGAAAGCCCCAAAATCCACTGGGCTGAAGTCCTCTATGTGAGACATATCTAACTATAACAAGTGGTGGACCATCTCATCGCATCCGCCAACACAGGCTACTACAAAGGCGATGTAAAAGATGTATTCCGGTTCAAGAATATGAAACGCATTGCTATCTTTATTCGTGGACTGAAGGATCAGTTGAAGATGGAAGTTCGTCTTAAGCATGTAATAAGCCGGGCCTCCACATTAGACTCTATGTATAAACGTACTCTTAAGCAGTACGCAAATTATAAACGTACTCTTAATAGTACGAGGAACTTAAGTTTCCTAAATGTACTCTTAATTAATAGTGCGATGAACTCAAGTCTCCTAAATGTGCTTTTTATAGCACGATGAACTTAAGTTTCTTAAAATGGTTTTTAATGGTTTTATTAATTAAACCTTTTCCATTTAACATATCAGATATTTGGATAAGGCCATTGAAAGGCCTCATTAAAATACCAAACATAAAAGAGTTGGTCTAGTTCTATTAATAGAGCTTTATTTACTTTCCAATTTTATTTATATCCGAATACTTCGGTAGCGGGATGGCTCAACCGAATATAGGTTTCTAGGGACTATTAACGTTACCTAGTTGATCCTCCGATAAGCCAACCAGATGTGCCAGTCTGATGAAGGCTAAGTCGGTAATTCTTGATAGTGGCAAGTTATTGGTTAAGACAATAACTAACGACGTCAAGAGTATTTTTATTTCTATTTCTTTTTTTCTAAAGATAGGATTTATGAGTCTCTCGGATTCGCCCCAGAATAGAGCGACAACGAAACACTAAATAAAATCCCTTCGGCGGAAAGAGTACAGAGAGGATTATATATAGGCAATGTCTCAGCCTCACAATCCCTCAGAGTCTTGCTGTTTTCACGAGGCAAACCTAACTTTATTAAACGTCTCATTTCGTTTATTTATATCGATATTTACACGATATAGAATTTACCTACACGTTTATTTATTCTAAGGCATTAGTATCGCCTTTATTAGACCGAATCTTACACATTTTAAAGTTAGCAAAAGTATAAATTACTTAGACTACTTAAGCGTAAAGGTAAGTTATCTACCACAACAATTTTTTTCTCTGGTCTAAGCTAGTCGTTAAGAGACAATCTAGTAGTCATAAGTCAAGATTATGACCAAGAATGACAACACTCCTTCTAAGAAGCGTAGAGCTGAAAAGAAGAAGATGGAGAAAGAAGTCGCTAACGCTGCCGCAGCTATTACTGCTCACAAGCAACCGACGCCGCTGCTGATGCATTTAAGTGCACTGTAGCCAAAGCACTTGCCTATGACAATTATAGTCAAAAGGACAATGCTTCAGATAAGGAAGTAGCCACTCCGCTTAAGGAGACTACTCCTTCTGACAGAGCCCGAGGGCCAACTATAGCCTCAACTTCAAAGCTTGCATTAACGAGACCAAGAAGTGAGACAAGGGATACGTCGCAAGACGCCCCAACCCATTCTTCTGATGAAAATCAGAAAGGAAAGTCCCCAAATATGAGGGCGTCCCCAGATATAGGGGACAAGGACAAATATCAGAAGGAACCTATTATGGAACCAGAAGAGGAGGCAAGCTCAAGTAGCAAAACCGAATCTACGTCCGAGACTTCTAAGCCGAAGCACATAAGTAAATTATTTACTAAATACGCTGATCTTAAGAATCAGTTAACTACTATTATGAAAGACTTGACTGTCGAGCATGTAGATTAATTAGAAAGATCGGGAAAACATACACAGCGCTTACGCGAGCATGTTTCCCCGGGCATTACTGAAGCCCTACAGAAGTGGACAGAACGTCGACAGGCAATCACGCCCAAAGACTCAAGCTCGACACCTGAGCCATATGATCCAGAGATGCACAGCGTCGATATACCGTACGAGGCATTACTGCCAGAAGAACAGGCTAATCATTCGCCTGTTCTGACACCTGGTCGTGAGTCACCTGTCCTCAAAGGTATTATAGACCGAGAGGTAAGAAAACATACTCCGCCACTTGTACCCAATTGGGAGGACAATCGTCGGAAACCAGTTAAGACTGGGTATGTTATTCCGACGCCAAGGGATATTAATCATCCCCGCAGATGTGTGAACGATGTCGAGTTTAATTGCTTCGACCGCACGGCTTTACACCAACCCGCAGAGGATTTCCACTCTGACGAGGTGACCGACCTTAATAAACCGGTCGACGACTATACCAATAAAATGGAAGGCAACCGACCTCTGACTCCTCTAATTCCTTTTTTAAACCCCTCACCACCCGTGGCTGCTCAGCCCCTTCTTCAGACTCCCGCTCCAGACACCTCTCCCTCACAGGCGAGTACTCACGTGCTCTCCGCCAACCCCACCTCGGTTTCTCAGCCCTCCATTCAAATCCTCTTACTCCTCGCCCTACCTTTATCCACACCTGTGATGAATATCACAAGAATATCATTAATCTTAGTCGCTCCACCATCAAAATGGTCGCGAAAGGAAGAATTACACTCACCCACGCATCGCCCAAAACGGGCGAGTGGATGATTGTACTGAACACATTAAAGAACCTTGTTGGTATCTCGAAGAATACTTCTTCAGAAGTCTCCCCCTCCAGACCCCCCCCCCCCCCCCCCCCCACCCTGAACGGCACAGTGAAACAAGCTCACAACGCTCACTAATCACGGAAGCGGGCATGCAACACAAATCCTCCGGGGCAACGCGAAACGTTGGGCCGACATGATTAAAAACAACACATTACCACAACAGAGAAGATGTATACCTTCAGCGATGTGTGACAACAGAAATCGTACCTCGACCGGTTGACGCACATTTCCACTGTCTTGTTGTTTCCAAGCTAGTAGGCTAGTTTAAGAAATCACGCCATAAACTTGAAACCCGAGAGGGTTTGTTAAGGTGTCCAACTGGTCGCTCCAAAACAGCACCTTTGACACTTGGCGCATCCAAAACATGATTCCGGCACAATGACAACATGACAGCCGCAAAGTCGAGTTTCTCCCGAACATCCGTCCTCAATGGTCTCCAGGTGAAAGAAAGGATACACTATGCGATAATCACACCGCCGCCACGCTGCCAACCATGCACTCAACATATAAGCCTCTAGCAGTTTCTACCATTTCGGAACTAGACAACACTTACACTTCTTTCAGAGACGCGACCAACCTACCTCCCAACCCTTCAGTGTCAATTTCTCCCCCTAGTTTGCCTCTCACACCTCGTGTCGACGCCCGCTACAGTAGTTACCAAGTACAGGACATATCGAATACATTTGACGACTTGTAAAACACAACACCCGCAACGTCACAAAACAATTCCCTATTCTATGTCCATAATGGTCTCCGGATGGAAGAAGTGCTACATTAACCGATACTCCGCACTCTTACCTCATCCCGGAAGATTGATACAACAACCCACCGATTCTCGCCCCCATTGTCCCAGCCGCGCCACCAACCTTGATTTCTTCGCGTACGACACCTCCGCACAGCTCCTGCCACTCCAACACCAGACACTTACACTTCTCCGAGAGACGCATCCAGCCCACTGTCTTCCAACCCTTCGGCGGGGTGCACACTCACATCGCCCAGCACTATTCCGACTGTATTTAGCACACTGACCGGCAGTTGGAAATGGCTGCATTTGCCTAACTATATAACTTACTGCAATCACAAAGGTTACACATATATATTTAGCTGTATCTCCAGTGATACCAAAATGTTCACCTATGGCGCCCGGATTGAACCGTGACTTTTTAAAAAATGCACAAATATTACAAAGCGATGTCATATTGTGAGTGTGCACTTCTTCCTCCCTTGTTGATCAATGCAGGAAGTAGTAGTAAATTAAGTGAATGACTGAACTAACCAACCGCGAGTACTTCGATGTCTGTCCGCACGATCCGCTCCTGGGTGGTTTTCTTTAATTCTTCCATGATGAGATCGTCAATCCTGGGCGGATTGTTTTTTAACCTTCCGGGAGTTAGTCAATAGTGCTGACCTAGTACCATTTAATCGGCTCCCATCACAAAATATACCCCAAACAATATTTAAACTTACATATCTTTCCGGTTTTGTAGTAAACTAGGTGAATGACTGAACCAGCCAACCTACTACTAGATTGGTTGGTTCAGTGTGGTCAAAACCCCGTTGAGTTATTATTCTAACTAATTATATATAAAATATATACGTTAAAACTGTTCTATAGTACCCCGCATAATGTATTAAAATAATATGCAGTATTGAGACGTGAAACTATTATCATTTATCCAATACGTATTTATCGTTTATCCAATATGTATTTGTAACAACGTTTATGTTTATGATTCATAGTTGTTATCCACTTTAGAGTATAATATGTTATCTCTCACAAGTTCAGAGAAAGAGCGTCAGACTCTGTCAGAGAGGTGAACAATACATTGAACATTAACTCAATCAGTAGAATACTGAGGCCGAGTCTAATCGGTTATAGCAAATTTTCGTAACAGTAACAATAATAGGGCAAATTAAGGCTGAAAAATTTCGAAATGACTCAGAAGATGTCCTTTCGAGATTTCAGATTCAATTGCACAAAAGTAGTTAATATATAACTTGACATTTCCCGCCAAAGTACAGACTATTTATAAACCTACTCTAAGTGCGTAGCTATCAATAATTCAAATGCGTATTATAATATATCATAGAAAGTGTCTAATAAATATATACTACTTCTATTATATACAACCTCTGTTCTTTTGTGATACAATATGTACGAGGAACTTCCCATCTTCTACACACGCCGAATAGAATTGAGGCAGCGATTGGCTAGTGCCATCAATGAGGATACATCCAGTGCTAGTGATGTGCTTAGCAATATTTTGCGTACAATGGAGGAGAGTAGCATTAACACAAGTAGTATTGATAAGGAGGAGGATAGTAAATCAAGTAGTGACGAAGACTCCGAAAGTGAGGATAATATTACAACCGCTATGATAATAACTACAATGTTAACGGTACTAACAAACATCATTCCTGTTCTAGAACAATCAAATATCGTGCCTAGAGGATCACTTGTGTATCGGTTTCGGCCATCGTTCGATGAGATCGCTGACACATGCTACAAATGAACTTCTTCCATGTTGACATGCTCATGAGCTTACCTCAGTTTTTAGTTTTAAAACAAGCTATCACACCTATGTGTGAACGCGATGAAGTCATGGGAAGCCTGAGGAACGAAAGCATCGATGTTGGGGTTCAATTAGCTATAACTTTACGTATGTTAGCGGGGGGCCAAGTAGCAGATTTCAAGTGCACACATGTAATGCATAAAAGTAGTGCGTGCAATCAACGATGTCAGTGATCTGGATGCACTGAGCATACCCTTTCCTACTACCACACAAGAGTGCAAGGAGATAGCCGAAGGATTCAGGCAAAGATCAACGTTTGGAGTTATTGGACACTGTGTAGAAGCAGTAGATGGAATTTTTGTCAGAACACAACTGCCGACAGAAAAAGAGTGTCCTTGGAGACAACATTTATTCTCTAGCCATAAGATGGCCCTTGCAGTGAATTGCCAAGCAATCTATGATCATCGCTATCGATTCACAGCATTTGCTTGTTCATCTTTTGGCTCCGTACATGACAAGCGTGCCTTAGAGGCCTGTGGCTTTTTAGATTTGATTCGGACGCTGCCTTGACCGTACTATGTAGTAGGTGATAATGCGTACACGGGTGATGAATTCATGCTTGTTCCTTGACTTGGTAGAAATATTTTTCAATCCCAAACACGTATGCATATTGAGCAAGCGTTTGGGATATTTGTAAGAAAGTGGGGTATCCTATGGAAGCCGATACAATATAGCTTTGCATTTTTTCCTTCATGAGCTACTTATGTGCCTAGCTAAATTACGTAATTATTGTATTGGTTTTGACGATGTAAAAGGACAGGGTTATCTTGGCATCTCAAAAACTGAGTTTAATAACGCATGTATTGGCGTGAGTGATATATTTTTAGATCAGAGTATAAAGTTTCAAACAAAGGATGGAGCGGGACTGTTGCAGAGGAATATTACGAGCGTGTGAGGGTTTTCAGATATACTATTTTTAGTGGAGACCTTACAGAAGCAGACAAACAAGTCATACGTGATGAGATGGATATGAAAAAAACAAACAAGATGCGGCCTTAGTGTTCAAGTCTGCTACATTACCTCTTATGACACATATGGCAGGTGAAGTGGATCAAAGAAGATTGAGAAGGCCAGACTGGAATGTACGAAGAAATTCGACACAGAAGGCAAGATACAAACAAAAGACATATCTATAATGTCAAATACAAAGGATGTACACAAATATAGACAAAGGTAATAAAGTGATTGATGAAATAATTATTTTTTAGTCATTTCTTTTTATTATTGTTCATATACGTGATATATAAATATTGCTGTTGTTGTTGTAGCTCGCTTTGTGTAATAATCATCATATAAATATATTCATATGTACGAGTGCGTGGTTAATTTGTACAATACATAGACACGACTCGCTTTGCATAATCATCATATATTAAATATCATATATACATACAACATACAATGTAATTTATACGCGCTCACACCTTTGAGATTGTCTGATCAGCCCAATGCATCCAATTCATCGCTTAACTTGTCAAGACTCTTCTTCAGTTTTGACCGGAGTGGTTCTTCTGCATCCCGAAGTACTTTTTGTACAGACTGCATATCTTTAATGATACTTTCGAGATCACGGACCTTTTTCATCTGAATATTGCTAGTTCGTTTCAGTAGATAGTCTTCTAAAACATCCGTCAGTCGATCTATTTTACGACCCGCTTCATTCAAATTATTCCGTGCCTATTTTTCCATTGTGAGGGGTGGGTGTAAATGCGTCTAGTAAATCAGGTGGTGAAGTATTACTACTGAATCGATATCGTTTTGATGTAACTTGTGTGGCTGGAGTTAAATCTTCACTTGAGTTAGAGGCGTGTGATGCAGAGCTTAATCCAGTAGGAATCAACGGATTTGTTACAGTTTCAAACATAGACAAGCAATCCGAGTCTTGCGCATAAGAGTACATAATTACGGGATATACGCTATCTGCAAAGTACAAAACACTCGGAGCATTACATCCACCTTTTGACAGTCTCATATTAAAGCTCGAAAACTCGGATTTCAAACCTTGCCACAGCTCGTATAGCTTCTTGCCGAGCTCGTCCTTCCAATCACCCGAGCTCTCATTAGCAGTTGCCTTGATGGTGTACACCAGGTTCATGCCCAACGGATCTGTATTTCTTATCTAATCAACATACTTGGCGGGGCGTTTATATGGATCATCCATCTCCTCTATTGTCACCAAATCTTCCTCACATGCTGATAGATTTGGTAACCATGGATATATCTTTTTGGTGGTTGTTGCGTTGGTATTGTTATTTTGTTTACACAGTAATCCTTGTCAGCGAAGTCTTAGACAAAAATGATCCACCAAGGGTCCCGATGACGAATTTGTCCGTTGTCGAGTCTTCCCCGGCCCCCTTGCAAGCTTTGTGTACCTACTACACCATCCTTATGAAGGTCATCGGTCATAATGCACGTCATCCTGCAGACAACACTTGGCGTTCGCTTGGCTCCGGCTTTACTGTTCTCTTTGGCTACCTTCACGGCTGTTTTGTTGTTACTTGACGCCTTGTCTTTCAGTGTTCTGCCATCATATTCTAAAGGAATATATGGCCAGTGCGGAAACTGTTCCATCTCTTCTCGGGCATTATCATTGGGTAGCAGTACAGTCACTAAAGTCTGTCATATAATTGTTGACAATACGAGGATCGTAAAAAGTCAGGGTGCACAGGTATAGGAGTCATACTTCTGTTTAAAAGTGGCCTATAAAGGGGCAACCAACGATTGTAATCCCCAGGTTTGATCTGCCTGGTGCCATGCTTTTGCGCATCGTACGTACCCTACGGAACAAAATTTGATATATTTTTTAGATGTACTTGAAGTAAAGTATATCACACGGAAGAGAGACGTTCTATTCTTTTGCTGCGTTTAGCTAGGTCTATTACATAATTAAAAAGCATACAAGAAATATACACTGTTATTAACAGCAGCATTCAAAAGAGGCATCGTAACCGCCTGACCGTTAAACCGCTTCTTTGTAGCAAACATGCTTGCATCCAATCGAACATTTTGTGCGGGCTTTCGTGTATCCATTTAGATTGATGGGGATATCGACGGTATTTTACATTTTCTTGGTAATTTTTGAAGATTCAGACTATAACGTAAAACTATAACAAAATCAACTATTACAAGAGTCAAATTTTGTCTCTGGAAGTTTTCAAAAGTGGGACACGAAATCATTTTTTTATTTAAAATTTAACTATAACGTGAAAACTATTATAGTTAAGACCTGGCCTTACTAGACTCTCTCTCTCTACTAATGAGAACTGCTAAATAAATATGTATGTCGAAGTGCTTCAAATTCTGGTATTTGTTTTTAAAATTTAATAATACGATTTAAATATAATGGAGAGTTCCTATTTGTTAACAAATATTTACAAAGAAAAGTCACTCTTTTTCACTCCACCTCCTACTTTCTCTATAGAATTCTGAATTCCATGTTGTTTGTTTTTAAGAAAAAACATAAAATAAAATAACATATAATAAAATAACTGTACTACGGATGTCATGGAGAGGTAACGTTAAAAAATCTAAAAAATAAAAAGGAGTAAAATGATATTTGAAAGGTATTCAAAGATTTAGAGATAGAGTAAGAGCCAAAGAGGACCTAGTTTCACGTTCCTGATGTACCCTTTGGAGCAGGTGACTGCACTCTACTAGTTCAGTCCTCAGATATGAGTTTGAGTTTGTCACTACTCTTTCTAGTCATTCGTCACACAGTCACACTTGAGCGAAGTCGTATGTATTTACCCCAATTCTACTCAGAATACATATCTCGAAACCCACCGAAACCGAAAACGCTGATTGTGTTTCAAAAAACAAATAAAGATTAAATCGTATTGTGAGTGCGAGCCTGCGACAGCCCTGCGTCCTGCGAGGCCGCACAATCGATGCTCTGAGATTCGAGATAAAATCCATTTTACTTCTACTGACGTCTGACGACATTGAGTGGTGGAAATTGAGACACATATCTATATTAACTTTTAAAACACAGCTGCTTTTTCGTACACAAACTCTTTCAGTAGAATCGAAGAAACCTTCAGTACGAAATAAGAATACTTCCTGTGACCTGTGGTGGACTGGGGGTGGAGCATAGTCAGGTAAAAATACACGCGACAGTAAAAATACACGCGACTATATTCACCAACTTTAAAGTTAGTGATTAAAAATTAGAACCCTTGAACAATTTGTTTTTAAAAATGCACTCTCGACTCTCCAGAGGGGGATCCGTGAAGTGAGATTTTTAACTTAAGTACTCAGCGTATGTGTACATAGCTCTTAGAATCTAGCTCACGTCGCCAGTGAACATACACACGACTACTATCATGGGCTTAGTTAAAGCATTCTTGAACAAAATTCAATCGACGTGGAATCAGAAGCAAAAGTCGGAGATAACACAATGGCAACCTGTAGGCCGCTATGGCGTCAGCCAGGATACGGTAAACTCCAATATGATCCAGATGAGCCAAGATAATGTCCTGCAAATTGTGCGTACCTCTGATAAACACTGGGAGGGCGAAGACGGTGACGGGATATACATAGAAGATGGACACAATGTCGTTATGAAGAGGAAAACAATGGTGAAAAGGAATACGCTGCAAATAACAAACACAACAGGGCAATCTACCAGTTGCCTAAAGGTTAAAACACCAATACCAGAATCATTACGGAGAGGAGATTTGTTTAGTGTCAGCAGTCGATTTGACCAAAGTAATAGGTCAACCCCGATTAGAACAAGATCTGGACAGCCACGGATCATGCCCAGCGTGGATAGCACACCCGAAGATAAGTTTAAACGCAGAAAAAATTCAAATTGCGCGACGAGCAGCAATGAATTTTTCAATCCAAGTGAGAATAGAGCAGCATGGCGTCCAATTCGCGAGGTTGCTGATGTTACATTCGATGAGACTGTAAATGTGGTTTACACACACGGAGAGAGTGAATATGATCGTACACCTATTGACGTTGATCATTCTGTGCCAATGATGACAGTGTATCGCGAACTCATGATTTTCAAACTTTGTGAGATGCCCATAAATGAATTCTCATTACACAATACGAATCAGCACCTTTCTAAGCTGCCACCCGCTGTGAAAGAGACAATGACTGGCGTGTTACACTCTATTCTAAACGACTACGGCGAGAGAGAATAGTTCATGCGAATTATAGGAAAACAAAAATGACCAAGTCATATTGTATCATTTTGCAGGCTGAACATATATTTACTATTCAAGTTAAAATATGGAAAGCCATATAAAAATGCATTCGGAAATAAACAAATTATTTTATAAATAAAACAATACATAAATCAAAATACACAAAATGTATAACAAAAAAACAATAGAACTTTTATACCTCGAACCATTTTTTAGTTTGTTTTCTGCCCTCAAATAAATAACAAGAGAGAGGCTGAGAGCCTGAGGACTTTGTCTATACGACACCCGTCACTTTGGCCCAAGTACCGAACTATTAAACGTGTACACTTCGCAGTCAAGTATCAGTTTTCGGTACATAATTTACACCTTTCACCTGAAATAGAACATAACGCCTCAGACTAGAGAGAGCCAATGTTCTGTTAAACATGTGAGCGTGAATTCGTGGATCCATACTTCTGAATATTTAAAAAATATCGTTTCATAGACTTCCAGAAAAGGAAGGCTATTTGCACAATTGCACTGTAGTTCAACAATGTTAAATTTGGTTTTGTCCCGTTCTGTTGTAAATTCCAGGTCCAAGGGATTTTGTCCTGTTCTGTGATTTCATTAACCGCAACATTCATTTTAGAACATAAATTCAAAAAAAAATCCACTCGGTTCATAAACTGTACATAGAAATACTAGGGATCTACGTTAATAATTAGACAAAGTCTGAGAGGCTGCGAGTCTGAGACTCGTTCGTATACGAGCAAAATATGTTTACACCTTGATGCTGCGGCCTGCGACCGACAGCCTACGTCAACACTCTACACTCTACGGACGAGTGACGACATGTCCTACAAATTGACATCACGTAATGACAAATGTAAGACGCACATAAATACCCAGATTTCAGTCTTTTTTAGGAGGCTATGCACTATGCAGATTTCTCAGCAATTCCCATGTCCATTTTCCCACCCCCTAAGGGCCCAAAAGGCAAAAGCATCTGTCCATATCGAATGAGCATGAGTCATGACCCCCTAAATACACTAAGAGAGAGAGAGAAAGAGAGTCTGGCGGTCTGGCCTGGGCGGCTGGGGCGCTGGGGCTGGAGGCTGGATGCCTGGACTCTGGACTCTGTGGAGTCACTTGAGTGGCGACTGAGTCTCCGGAGAGGTTCTTTTTGAAAACGCCTCAGAAGGGTCGGGAACTCGGAGTCGGGAAGTCGGGGGAGTGGGGACGGGTGTCGGCTTGTCCGGGACTCGGGGACGGGGGGGGAACTTGGACACGCAGGGGAATTTGGGTTGGTTTGTTTTTGTTTTCTTAAAAAACAAAAATAAAATAAAATACGGACAAAAAACCATAGCCTTCTAATTGTTTTTAATAAAAATAGATAAATATCATCAATTTCTGAATTTCATCATTCATCAATTAATGTAAATATTAGAAACGAAAACAACACATACTGGCATCGCTACTAATTATTGGCATGAATAGTAACTTGAAATCGGAACAATCCTCTTGACATTTCCAAGCAAAGCATCTATGACACAATTAGAGAGCTATACAGTTCGCTTGCATTGGAGATTGAAGCATATTACCAGCAGAACGTTTAGGAAGCTTTATATGATTCTACATTGGAGGTTCAATGTACACATTAAAGATTACTATCACCTGAGTGGATATATGAACTCAAGAGTTTCTCCACTGGAACACTCTCCATCGAGTCTTGCACATGGGCTATGTGATCAACCGTTTTCTACCCATATCAACTGACCATTCTGCAAGGGTTGTATCCGCTCCCTTTTCATGTACACAGTACTTTTTTGAGTGGCGTTATACTGTACACTGATCTCGCATACTATTACCAGTGGCGTGCGTGAGTACATCTATTCTTATTTCAAGCGAACACACGTGCTCCGATAGCAGACGCATATGCAAAATTGATGCTTAATCTGTTTTCCTTCTGTTCTCATCCGATGTCTCGTTTTCTTGCACACGTTCACTCTCTTTGGCATAACATTGGTACTCAAACAAGAGCACGTTATCCACATCCGAGGTATCCTTTAAGTACAGCCATTTGGCTATAGGAAATTGTACTGTTGCTTTCAGAGCGTCCCTGTGAGGCATTGAGAAACGGGCCGAATTGACGAATGGAGTTCAGTTGCACAGGCTTATCGCATGGCAAACAATTTGGCGTGCATTGAGTCAAAGTTTCGTCTAGCATTAGAATCATAAAGGTACAGATTGGACTATTAACCATCACCCTGAAATATACAGTTTCGCCTTCATAACAAGGTATGCGATGTCGTTAGCGAGTGATTGAGGTGTCAAACTGTCATTGGCTGTCTTCTCGCCTGATCGGAGTTCAGCACCACACTACTGTTTCACGAGGAGCATAACAAGGAGGCGAGGTACCTCAACAACAATCTCGATGCGTCAAAACAAATCTATATACAACTTACAACGGGTTTCCAAACATTCGGCTTGTACCATATAGTACGTACAAAGATATTGCGTACTGTAACGACGTAGATTCCCGTGTGCGGACAATCGGGTCGATCAATCGGCACAACGAGACTCATCGGACATTCACGCTTCTATCTATACTATGGTTTCCGGACGGCCAACGCACAGGCTACTAAGGCATATCACGATAAAACTTTACTTAAATAGCGACGTTATTGTAGAAAACACAGCAGGGATTCTCGGGATTGCTTATCAATTCCGAATACGCTTGATTTTCTGCCTCAAGGTCAGGGCTGTGTATATGCAGCACACCAACTACCACACGTTGTTTATCAAGCCGAGTACTGACGAGTTAACACAGGCAGCGAACATATACCAAGGGCTTGACAAAAGAATATGAGTAAATTAGAACGCCGCAGATACTGGGTACTGCACAGTCTAGACATAAAATTGGACAATTTTCTTGTTCTTTTTGTAGGGAGTATCATGGGCCCTTAACCCCAAGTCTCTACTTGCGACGTCATGATGTTCACAGAAGATAGCCATAACGCAATACCACTCACTTGCACCACAATCAGCATACGTTTTAAGAACGCAGTGATGACACCGACGCCCAATCGTGCAAAATATGACAATACGGCAACGACACACGTGTGACAAACCCTAGACGGCCAGCGGCCAAAATTACTCGTTTGTAATCGAGAATACCTCGGTGTGGTATATAGATACACGGGTGCAAACATTCTACTACGACACCTCTTCTGATACCACCAAGATTCTGTTCAAAGCGCACACATGCGCAATCTCTTCAAGAACAGTAGCAATCATGAGGACTAATCCATGTCAAGAGTAGCAATCAGAGACATACCTCAGAACCTCATTCCCGAGATAGAACCAGATCTCTGCAAAACCAGCTCCCGTCAGGCCTCCCACCACCACCTGTTGGAGGGTGTGGTACCGCAGATAGATGCGACAGTAACCCACTACAAATACCAGCATATACAGCAGCACTGTGCCTATGTGTTTGCACAGCCGGTCATATGAAGCACTCACTACCCACCTGTGCGGGGCATGTAGACAGTTATGCGAATTCAGTGCGTCGTGTGTGTGTGTGTAACTGGCAGGATACAAATATACGGATATCTATATACGAGGTCGTGTGTGAGGCGTAGATAGCTTCGAGCCCTCGGACACGGGTGTGAGCGTAGTCAACAGTCACAGCTGATAACTGTCGACAGTCTAAAATCCAACACGCTAAGTGTCGACGTAGAGTGTACGGATCTGGCTTGTATCGGGAGATCAGAGTGCGCAGTTGCGGTGAAGCGTATGTAAATTTGTGGTACTAAGTCTGTGTGTGCTACGGGTCATGAACCCTGTGCAAGGATATATACATAGGTATGCTAAGGAATGCTTCGCAACAACGCACAGAGCATATGAAAGGCAGAAAGCATAATAGTGACACTGTGGTGTCAATGAGCCTGGCGAATAGCTGACACTAAGAGCCGTCCTCATCAATGATGTGTAGGTAACAGATTCCATGAAAAATGAGAAACTCATATTGTTGTTGACGGTGACACACAGAAAGACATCCACACACACACACACACACACACACACACGCAGTCACACACGCACACACACACGCGCGGGGAGACATATACACACGCGTGTGCGCGCAGACACACGCACATACACACAAACATGCACATACACGCACACCCATATAAACACACACACACACACACACACACACACACACACACACATATATATATATATAAACACACACACACCAACATACACAGACAAACACACACACACACACACAGACTCACTAGCAGAACAATCCGATCGACTGTTATTGTTTATAAACAGATGAATGATTACAATCTCAACTCAGGCATGCCAGGTGAACAGCTTCAGCACCCATACTACTAAGAGCATGGCAATGTTCATGGCAAAAACACTCTCAAAGAATCATTTACACACGATAAACAGATTGACGAGAATCGTGCATGGGCACAAAATACCCGAAATCTATTCAGCATGATTTCTCAATACTCCTTCCCTTGCACACACATTCTTCGTGATACCTGAGCTCTAATACATTTGTACGTCTCATATATTTTACTCAAACCCCCACCTCGAACACGAGATATATACCGTTTCCAGAGGCAGAGGACCACAAAGTTGGCGAAGTACGCCGTGAACTGAGTGTGATTGGAAGGCATTCCGTGTTTGCCGTACACACCAATGTGTGCCGGATAGTCTGTGTACAACAGAGTAGTAGATTACACGTGAGCAAATATGGCAAATATACACGCAATCCGCTACGGAGAGTTACATACTCTGGTAATATGCATCTGTGAGTATTGACAATCTCATCGAGAAATGCACAGTTCTATAAATAAACGTACACTAGATAGTGCACATATGGTCGAGTGCAAGAAAGTGTATAGGTACATTTCCACTTCGAAGACACAAGCCGTAGACCCATACACATGGTGCTGAATGGTAGATGGCCTGCGTATTTGTCCATTGTAATGAACGAACATGCACAACGATAACTTTGAGCGCATGCCTGAAACTTAAACACAATCCGATAAGGGCCACTATGGGTATGATATTTCTCGCGATAGCACGGAATCCCTTTACCTACCATCGAATACCGGTCTGGCTTCCTTGATGCTTTTCTTGAGCACCAAGTTGAGAACTTCATTGACCACCATGCCCATCCCAAAGTAGGCGATGAATATGTCGCGACGAAGAAGGAAGGCAGTCACACTGCACGGAATAAGGATAAGCGGCACTAGGCTGCAGCCCAATACAAAAGGGAGTTATGATAAGTAATTAATAAGTTTTGCATGAGAAACGTCTGGGGAATGTCACAATAAAGATGTCACAATAGTCGTCTAGAGGCGACTGTGGGCCAAGAAACAATTGACATCTTGCACAAAAACTTTGAGGTGAACTATCAAAAAAATGACGTATAGGTCAGATACACAAGCAATGCACTAGGATATACAATAGGGACAGAAGTAATGGAGCCACACGGACACGGATATGGGATGAAAGTTGGCCGTAGCGTAAATATGTCTACATTGAACGCGAAACTAGCCATAAATTAACGACCAGCCAACAGTCACGGAGGAACAGCGATGTACGAAATCAAATGACAATTCGAAAATATTGAGGTGATACTGTATGCGTGGCAATCAGGCAAGTAGATACTCAAGTATAATCTTGCTGAGAGTGCACAGCCATAGAAAACGAAACCACGAATAATAAAAACATACAGATACGGAACTATATATATATATATATAAATATAATATATATATATATATATATATATATATATATATATATATATATATATATATATATATATATATATATATATATATATATATACTATATATATATATATATA